TGTCCCGTTTATCCTAGTATTTTTTTAGTCCATCTAAATCTAGTTTAAGTCGTTTCGTCGGGTAGGGGGCTGTGGGGATTCTAGAAATTTGGTTTCAATCTGTTGCTTTCATCTCACCTATTTTCATTTTATAGTCACTGATGATGGCACCTAACCATCTCTCCTCAATGGGGGAGTTTGGTAAAGGGGATGATCGTACCTTCGTACCTTCCTCAAAATTGTCCTTTGTTTGCTTTCTACCAACCGATGGAAACTAACGATTTAAAATTGGCTCACTACTTGACTAGCCTATTGGTCCCAAGCAAATCGATTAACGTATCCCATTATAGTCGAAATTCTAGTACTACACAATGTTTGTTTTGATTTGTTATGAAAGTTTGAATGACAGATAAAATGAGGGGTTCGTGGATTTTCCTATGTTTCGAGGCGTGCATCGATTAGCTTGGGACCAAGTATAGTACCAGAGCTGAGCCAAAAAGCTGAGCACGTTTCTTCGGGACCTACTAGTCTTAGGGTTACCAACAATCAATACGAAACTAACGATTTTAAATTGGCTCACTACTTGACTAGCCTATTGGTCCTAAGCAAACGATTAACGTATCCCATTCTAGTCGAAGTTCTAGTACTACGCAATATTTGTTTTGATTCGCTATGAAAGTTTGACAGATAAAATGAGGGGTTATTGGTTTTTCTTATGTTTCGAGGGGTGAATCGATTAGCTTGGGACCGAAGAGAGTACCAGAGCTGAGCCAAAAAGTTGAACACATTATTTCGGGACCTTCTAGTCTTAGAGTTACCTCTATGGAGTTACCTCTATGTTTCTACTTTTTTTCGAGAAGGGATTTCCTAACTTTGACAGTTCATTGCGGCCTTATTGTTGAAGCTACAAGTGTCACGTGTCAAAATTTGTTCCTGGTTTGTCTGAAATAAGTCTGGTAGAATTGAAGGTTTATTTGAAAATTTTCCATCTGTCAAATTTAAGTTAAAATTCACCAAATGGACCGCAGCGTAAATGTAGGGGGGTTGACAGCTGTAGCAACAATCAATACGAAACTAACGATTTTAAATTGGCTCACTACTTGACTAGCCTATTGGTCCCAAGCAAATCGACTAACGTACCCCATTGTAGTATAAATTCCAGTACTAATCTATGTTTGAACAAACTCGAGGAAACTGGTCAAGGTCTGCCGAGAATATCGCCACTGTACACGAAAGTGTGCAGAAGAACCGCGCACAAGAACTAGACCTCTCGTAGGCTTCAACATGGTGAATTCTGCGTCGAGACTTGGGTCTGCACCCATACAAAATTCAATTGACCCAGGAGCTCTAGCTTAACGATCATAGACAGCGCCGTGTGTTCGCTGATTGGGTTTTGGGGCAGTTGCAAACCACCCCCGATTTTGCCCGAAAAATCTTCTTCAGCGACGAGGCCCATTTTTTGATGAACGGGTATGTGAACAAACAGAGGTTAACCTACAAGAGGTCCTCCAATGCATCCCCAGAAAGTCACTGTATGATGTGCATTTTAGGCCGGAGGCGTCATCGGTCCGCACTTCTTCGAAAGCGACGCTGGTGAGGCCATCACCGTCAACGGAGAGCACTACAGGTCGATGATCACCGACTTCTTCTGGCCTAAAGTGGACGATATGGATGGGAACGATATGTGGTTCCAACAGGACGGTGCAACGTGCCATACAGAGCAAGAAATAATCGATATGAGCGATTTCCGGGCATGGTTATTTCGCGCGGAGGCGATGCCAACTGGTCACCAAGATTGTGTGATTTATCCCAGCTGAGTCAAAATTCCTGAAGTGGACCACTGATTTTTCACAAATCATTGGATTCCGTTCAAAATACGTCTATATATTGCTCTTACCACGACAAACAATAACCCAAAATATTTCGGCAAAATGCGCATTTAAACAATAGTTATAAACAATTAAGTTTTTTGGACCCTTTTTCGAAAAAAAATCTTATCTCTAGATCGGGCCAATGAATTTATCTCCAGTTTTGATGTAATCACAAGAAGACATGTTTCTTCCAAAATCACTAAAATGTATTCATCAAAAATGTAATTTGTTTATAATAATTACAATTTTTTATAAACAAATGCAATTTTTTTGGTGTTCCCCGCACGATACAAAATTGATTTTTTTTTAGAATTGTTCCTTGACTTTTTTCCCATACAGAACCGTTTCAACATTTTTGTCACCAGTATTGGGAGCCGAGTTATAGCAATTTTTGTAACGCGCCGCACCAAGCGCACGGCGCCGCGTCGCGCCGCTCGCGCGTTCACGCATCGGGAAAGACACGGGAAAGACGAAACGAGGAAACGAGTTCGGACCAAGAGCGCCTAGCGACTCGCTTCGCGCGCGAGCGGCGGGTCGCGGCGCCGCGCGCTTGGTGCGGCGCGTTACAAAAATTGCTATAACTCGGCTCCCAATACTGGTGACAAAAATGTTGAAACGGTTCTGTATGGGAAAAAAGTCAGGGAACAATTCTAAAAAAAAAAGCAATCTTGTATCGCGCGGGGAACACCAAAAAAATTGCATTTGTTTATAAAAAATTGTAATTATTATAAACAAATTACATTTTTGATGAATAAATTTTAGTGATTTTGGAAGAAACATGTCTTCTTGTGATTATATCAAAACTTGAGAAAAATTCATTGGCCCGATCTAGAGATAAGATTTTTTTTCGAAAAAGGGTCAAAAAAACTTAATTGTTTATAACTTTTGTTTAAATGCGAATTTTGCCGAAATATTTTGGGTTATTGTTTGTCGTGGTAAGAGCAATATATAGACGTATTTTGAATGGAATCCAATGATTTGTGAAAAATCAGTGGTTTACTTCAGGAATTTTGACTCAGCTAGACTTTTTCTTGTGAGATTATGTTAAGTCGCAGGTCTATGCCAATAAGCCGCAAACCACCGATGCCCTCTAAGCCAACATTACTCAAGTCATCAACGAGATTCAGCCCGATTTGTGCGCCAGAGTCATGAAAATTGGACCTCTCGGATGTACGTCACAAAGCGAAGCCGAGATGGCCATTTGAACGATGTCACATTCCATACATAATGGTACGTGTTTGTTTTTTTCAACTTTAAAGATAGGAAACGCTTAATGGAAAACGCTTAACAATGTTCACACTGCCGTACTACAACGGAACTATGAACTCTATACTTTCATATCAAGATCTATCGTATAAAATGTCCACTTTAAGTCTGATATTTGACGTTAAGCATCTCCAACCAGAGCTGGTAAATATCACGGCCATCCTGTGACGATTACAAAATAGGTCCTCTCACTATCGCGAGACGAAACTACCTATCATTAGCTTTCTTGTCATTTTTCAATGATCAAGCACTCATGAGAATAATTCTTATGTGGTTGTGACATCAACATTTCTAACTGATTTAGATTACTTTAAGCAAACAACTGTATGTGACCATGTACAACTGAGTGAATATATTATTAAGAATTCCTCGGTACAAGTAACTTTAATAGCATTAAATGAGCTAGTAATTACGATGATCACAGCACTGTCACGTTCTGTCATGACAAAAAATTGACGAAAATCTCTGTCATCGTTTTCTCATCCAATGATAGTGACAGAAGTATCTCTGTAAATATCGCGTGACATCTTTCATTGAAAATGACATTTTCCAGCCCTGTCTTCAACTATATAAATTCTTGTTTAAATTGGTGGAATTGAGAAGGCTTACAAAAACCTGTTTTCAAAATCTCAGTGTATACACGGAAGTATACATTTAGGCTATATCTTTGTTCTTTCTCTATTCAATATCAATGGTTCACGCCTGATGGTTATGCTTTCCTTACTACAATTCGCAGTGCGCATTATACCGTGCCGATTCAAATTTCGGACACTTAAACTCGAATTTCGGACACTTTTAAAAGTTGATTATCTCGGTCGAATATGATCCACATGTCTTGTAAATTTTAAATTTTTTTGGCTAGTGCCCTTCACGATCATCTAACATTATTACTTTGTTTCTAACTGGATGTAATATTTAATTAAAAATGAAAGTGTCCGAAATTTGAATCGTCCGAAATTTGAATCGGAACGGTACCCCACTTGGAGTGACAAATTGTTACGTTGAAAATAACTACTATTTTTCGAATAAACATTGCCATTCGACCCATTGAGCCGAAAAACGAAGGATGTAATTTTGGCCATATTCAGAGATGCCAACCGTTTTATCAATTTCAAATTACTTTCTTCTAGAAGTTTTTTGCATCAATTCTTACAGTACGTTTAAAGTGTAAAGTGTGTCAGCAATTTTTCGCCATCATATTAATAACTAGCAGCTGAGATAGGAGGGGGCACCCCCATTTCCAGTACAAAAACAAATTTGTGACGTATCCAATTCGTGCGATAACTGGAATAAGGGCACATAAATATGTTTGTTAACCCTTTCGTTCCCAGAAGCTTATTCATTGTTTTGAGATGCAAAAAAGTGTAGTTGAAAAAAGTGAACCCCTGCACAGTTTTTACAAAAAAAAAATGTTCCATACAGTCTTAAATTATGGAATCCATCAATAAAAGTTTTGTTGAAAACCACTTTTTACCTGTGTACCAACATTGAAGACCAGATTTAATGCCATATTAATACTCGAATCGGTTGAAAAATACACGTAATCTTCTAAGAGATGAACTAGCCATATGGCCAAAAAAAACTTAATCTTCTAGCAATTGCAAGCAATATTTTGATAATTGTTTATGTTTTGAGAGTTGCTGCACAGGTAGATTGAGGTTAAGGAAACGCCACTGATTTTAATTGTTTTGCAATAGAAAGTTGCTCAGTTGAATTCTTAAAAATACCTATGGACGAGGGTAATGAGTACACGGTAGATTCACAAACATGCGACGGACCGAAAAGCTGCAGATCACCTGGGAAGGAGAGGGTTAAATACACGCGAATTGTAACAGGATTGTTAGTGCTGTGATATCTGAACATTAGACAGCCTTATGAAGTTCGGATTATCCATATAACGCCTTTATTGGAGCATACCGAAATTGCTGATGATTATTTCTTTTTCTTTTCGTTTTAATGTTACAACATAAATTCACTACTACTCCTTACAATGTCCATCTGCCGTCTGCTGGCGATTCCTTTAAGAATCTACACGATCGCTTAGTTTTGGAATACATAGATGCGATAAAAACTTGTGTCACTTGTGTCGATTTGGAATATTTTCTTCACAAAACTAAGCAGCTTCTCTACTTAAAATTATTGTACCTAACTACGCAAGACTACGCTGTTACTGTGTGTATTTTTATGTATTTAGAATCAGCCGCTGGTTAAAAGAGCTGAAGAGTGTAAGATTCGTTTCTTATAAAGTAGACTATCACCAGTGGTGATGTTTCATTTTTGTTCACTGTTATGCATTATCTTTTCCAGCTTTCAGTTGGTATCAAAAGTACGCCACTTTTCCAGTTTTGCTTTTGAGACTCTTCCAGTAGTTACGATGACTTTGACAAATTGAAAAACTTCATAATCTACGCTCAAAAGATTCTATCACTGTTTCATACTAATCCTATAACCTACACGAATTCCGGAGGGTTCCGTTGATATTATTACACGATATAAAAATACTTTATCACATATAATAAAGACATAACTAAGTGGAAAGAAAGGTATATCGAACACAATGTTTAATGCATTTTATGGAATTGATGGTTGGTGGTAGCGGTTGGTTTCTAAAACAAAATAAGCTTTACCGATTTCACGATAAAAGGTTTTTCCACTCAAAACAAAACAAAACAAAACAAAAACAAATAAAACGTGATGAATAAATCATGGAAAAATAAATCTGTATTTTTTTTAAATATAAATATATCAACACCCACAAAAAAATCGCTGTATAAAAAAATATAACCACACGTAGGTACAATGCTAGGCGGTTACACATCAAACTATAGGAAAGTAGAGTCTAGCTCCGCTTGAAAATACGATCCTCCTGATTTCATAAGCTAACACTGATCCATACAAAAAGGTGCAATTTTGTTCGGATTGGTAACCGATCGAAATTTAAAATTCAATACCTAAAAAAATTTCTTTCACAATATGTTCAAATTTGCGCGATAATGTCAAACCGTATTCTGATGCATACTGTATGCAACAGTAGTTGGAATAAACACACCTAATGCATGATACCCTCTGCAAAGAGCCTTGAACCTGTCTCAAATACCAACTATGCAATATACCTATGAATTAAATTGTCTAGTGCAGAACAGAAAATAAAAACACTACTACTCACGACAATCCGTCAGCTACCAATTGGATACCCATAGACGACTAAATTAACAAACCTTCCTAGGCTTTTCGATTGCTGTCGTTGCTGTTGCCACTACTTTTGTTACTATTGTTGCTTGGAGGTTGTTCCTCGGTGTTGGAATTGCTACTTGCAATGGAACTCAAACTGGCAACAGCCGCACTGCTGGAAGCAGCTGAAGTCGATGCCATTTCCGAGTCAGAAGATGCCGATACGGCACCGTGGATGTTACTGCTACTTCTGCTGCTGCTGCTGTTACTGCTACTGCTGCTATTACTGCTTGAGCCATTCGAGGCAGTTGTAGTTACGGTCAGAAGAGAGGAGGAAGAAGAACTGGCCACTGCCAAACTGGCGCTACTGCTTTCGCCGTTCATCGATCGTGCTGAAGTTCGAAGGGAGCGACATTTTTAGAATCTGTAGAGGCTGGAGAAGCGCACTTTGCTAAATTCTTACCTTCACTATTGCTTGAGCATTTTGCGGGCGTGTCAATGCTTTTGGTTTTTGTCCGGCAAGTATTGTAGGCGCCACATTGGCTGCACTTCAGTCCGACTACGTGGAATTTGACGGTCGATTCCTGTAGGTATGAGCTCATGTAATTTTTAATCTAAACATAACCGAACTATTTCCAAACGCACCTTATGACAATCCTTGCAGAGAATATCAACAATGTAGTTTTCATATTCCTTTGGCATGGGTGTTGCAGCTACTTCTGCGTCGAGATATTCCCACAATTGATTCATATCCATCATAGACGTCTGACACGTCGGGCAGGCATAGTGTCCGGAGGATAGCTTTAACGAAACATAAACCGTTGTTGTATTGATTATTTGGAAATATGTCTATTCGATTGTCATACATACCAATTCTTCGAAACACGTTCGATGTAGTAAATGGCCACAGTCCGGGATGTGGCAGGGAATACGCGAGGTGTGGATATCATCTAGACAAACAGGACAGTTTGACCTGGAAACGTTCTCAACGCACTAAAATACGAAGAAGGCAACGTGAGTCGGGTTTCTTGATTGAGAAATTCAGAAGAGTCATACTCACCCTATGACCATCGACCTGCAGCTGCATTGGCAAGCACATGTTGCACACCTTACAGTGGAAGAATCGTCCCCTTCCGCCGACCCGGCAGATTCCACAGCCTTCACAGTGATACTGATTCCGATCCTCGTCATCGAATAGATTACACACCAGGCAGGTATACTGTGGGAAATAGCAGAATCGTGTTGTTCACCGTTCCATACCATTTGACGCACTAGAAACATAGGTAGGTATTAACTTACCCGTCCGAATCGCACTCCACATTGTTCACACTCGGCTTGCACCCGTTGTCTCGTGTTGCACTCCGTACAGATCAGCTCCGTTACCGTTTTACGATTGAAAAAGTGGGATTCATTTTCGTCATGGCAGTACCGACACATGTAGAACTTGTTGCAGCATGGTGTCTGTAAAATGGAAAGAAGGAATTAATCAACATGGGATTATCCAGCGATAACTATGCTTTAGGCGGTTTAAAATTTAGCTTCACTTCCTTGGGGTTGGGCTTCATACGCTTCATACAATACAGTTTTGTTACGGACTGCAAACCCATTCTAAGCTTTATAAACCTCTTCAGAACCATGGATAAAACCAAAATTTTTTCTTGGAATATGAGTACAAAAATTGCACGGATTTAGTAACCTTTCAATGAATCGTGTTACCATGCTTCTGCGTTAATTTCCCTTCAGATGTGACTGCTGTTCTTAATGGTGACATCTATCGGAAGTTACGCTTCCACTTGGTTCCGTTAATTGTTAACAGAGGGCAGTGCTGTCAACACATGTATGGTACCTTTATATATGCAGTTAGATTAACATCCTTTTGACGTAGGATTACGTCTGTGATTTCTATATGGGGGTACACTTTGTGAAAGCCAAAAATGGAAAACGTAACGAAATTATGAAAGATTTTGAACGTTAAAAACTCACCTGTCCCTGGACCGTTTTCAATAATTGTATCTCCAATCGATCGGAAATATTTCTACGCATCGATAGCAATGCTGTTGATTTTCAACAGGAAACTATTGAAAAAGTGGTATAGGGGAAATGACTCTAATGTTGGCTTATGGATCTAATATTGGGCCCATCGCTGAAAAGCTCCTATTTGTCAATTTTATCTAGATGAACGCGTCATTGGGACGGTACTAATGGATATGTTTGGTCACTATTGAAAATTTAGTCGATTTCTGAATTTATGTATTGTCCCAAATTAGGGGCATTTAGGCCGACATTGTCAAGCATTGTCCAAAATCGTCGAAATAACTAACAAATTCACTAATTACGTACATGCATATGCTGCTTCCCCAACACTGTCATGAGAGAGTCGTTAGTAGACGAAACAAGTCGAAGTGGCATTCGCCTCCGATCTTCGGGCGTGTGCGAATAGGGAGGATGCAATTGTGTAGCATGATGTTGCACACTCATCGCCATTTTGAGAACCACACGCCCCAACGACTACACAAAATGCTCTCCAGAGTTGTAATCTTGTAACCAAATTCGGAAGCAGGAGTGCAAGTGATTCTGATCGATTCTCTTCATCGACTTTCTGTTTCGTTAGTAACTCGACAGTAAACACATTCATTGATACGTTTGATGTTCTGGATGATAGAAGAGCATACAGTGACCGGCATAAAAAAAGATCCACCGATGTCGAATGTAAAAATGCATGTAAAACTCATTTATTTTTCAAAAAGTCAATTAATATGATTTATGTCTCAGATAACTAAATAACAAAAGTTTATTTTGACTCAACGATATTGGTAATTTTTATTCCAAAACTTAAAATAAACAACAAATTCAATTCGCATGACTTTTTGAGGTACACAGCAAAAAAAAATGTAATATCGATCAACGTAATTCAAGCTGATGCATGAAATAATCATGTAATAGCAAAACGCAGATACAATATTACATCAATGGATGTAATTTTGTTCGCAAAATCGATGTACATCGTACAATGTGATTTTACACAACCGATGGATTGACCTGGTTGCAGCAGTTTCGATGTAATATTCAACAACTTTTTTTGCTGTGTATGACATAAAAAAAGATCCATTTTATGTTTCATGTGTTATAATCATACAAAATCGATTATGATCAGCTGGTCAGTAGTTAATATGACCTCCCTTCGCTTCGATAATGGACTGCAGTCGTTTCGGCATGCTTTCGACCAGGTTTCTGAGGTGCTGTGGGTCCAGTTCATTCCAGGCCTTCTCCAGGGCAGCAAAATATGTCTGCTTGTTGGTTACGCCGGTCTTTTCCACTCTGTTATCGAGAATTGCCCAGAGATTCTCGATTGGGTTCAAGTCAGGGCTCTGGGGTGGCCATTCCAAGGGTTTGATGCGACAGGCTCGAAAGAATGCGAGCGTTTTCTTTGCCGTGTGCTTGGGATCGTTATCCTGCTGGAAGATGTAGTTGTCTTCCAATTCCATTTTTAGCAAAGACTCTTCCAAATTTTCGTTAAGAATGTCAATATAGCCTTCCGCTGTCATGATCCCATTGATCAGGACCAGATTTCCCACACCAAACCATGAAAAACAACCCCAGACCATAATATTTCCTCCACCGTGCTTCATGGTTGCTTGAAGATGTTTGTCCTGGAGCCCTTCATCGCTTTTCCGCCATACTCGCAAACGTCGTTTTTTGTTAAAAAGCTCAAACTTCGATTCATCTGACCAGATAACACGTTTCCAGAATTCCAGGGGCATATTGATGTGGGTTCTTGCAAACCTCAGACGCTTTTCCTTATTGACCTTGCTGATGAACGGCCGCTTCCGAGCAAAATAACTCTTTAAGCCGTGCTCAGCAATGCGGCGTCGAATTGTTCGTTCGGATATTGTTAGGTTCAACTTTTCTTTCACTCCGTGGATGGTAACAAACGGATCCTTTTTGATTTCCCGGATGATTCTGGAGTCCTCTCGGTGATCAGATTTACGTTTAAGTCCTCGTCCAGATCGATCTGCAACGCTTCCAACCCGTTGGTGCTTCAAAATTATCTTTTGAACCGCATTGCGACTGACAGAGTATTTTTCGGCAATTTTGCGCTGAGATTCGTTTTTCTCAAAGTCACGAACGATTAGATTCCGAATTTGATACGAGATTTTCTTTCCACCCATATTTGAACTTTCAAAAACTGGTTACTTTCGCACAATACGTTTACTTCTCAGCGCTGCAGCAGAGATTTGCGATGAATGTAAATAAACAAATGTCAACATTAGGAATTGTGAGGGGTATGTCAACGGAATTTACACGGCAAATTTTTTTTTCTACAGGTGGATCTTTTTTTATGTCATACCGTAAACAAGGGGTGCGTTTGAATTTCGTTAGTGGTTGACCTGAACTGATTCGTATATTGAAACTCTTGCACGTACTATAACAAGTGGTACTAGAACAAGCTTAAAACGTGCAATAATATAGCTTTTAAAAAGTGCTTGGGAAAGAAAACCGATTTATCTAACAAGTGAGCCGGTGGATCTTTTTTTTATGCCGGTCACTGTAGCAGAAATAGAGCGGAATAGGCTAGTGAAACCATGGTCATCAAAAGAGGAAATCGATGAAGAGAATTTACTTTCACCTCTCTGCTTCTAAGAGCAACCGTAACGGTCGTTGTCATTTGCGCGACTATTTTAACAGCGCACAGCGCTCTCATTTTAGTTTAGTCACTCTTCTCCACACCGGTCGCTGCTATCGCGGTTATCAATTTACTCGCCGTAGTCCGTACCGGTAGTGAGCATTTTGACATTTCTACGAATAGCAACCTTTCTCCCGCGCTGCTAAATTTGGTAACACGCTTCTCACCGAGAAGCCGACTGCTATTTTAGTTACTCGTATGACAACCCCCGATACGGTAGCTGCGCTATGATGAGGGCTGCTAAAATGAGTTTAGCAGCGTACCGTTACGGTTGCTCTAAGTTACCAAATTTAGCAGCGCGGGAGAAAGGTTGCTATTCGTAGAAATGTCAAAATGCTCACTACCGGTACGGACTACGGCGAGTAAATTGATAACCGCGATAGCAGCGACCGATGTGGAGAAGAGTGACTAAACTAAAATGAGAGCGCTGTGCGCTGTTAAAATAGTCGCGCAAATGACAACGACCGTTACGGTTGCTCTTAGAAGCAGAGAGGTGAAAGTAAATTCTCTTCATCGATTTCCTCTTTTGATGACCATGGTTTCACTAGCCTATTCCGCTCTATTTCTGCTACAGTGACCGGCATAAAAAAAAGATCCACCGGCTCACTTGTTAGATAAATCGGTTTTCTTTCCCAAGCACTTTTTAAAAGCTATATTATTGCACGTTTTAAGCTTGTTCTAGTACCACTTGTTATAGTACGTGCAAGAGTTTCAATTAAATTTGTAATTATTACATTATTTTCTAGGGATGCCCACAAGTCCAATTATACGATCAACGATTAATCGTAAAGATTTTTCCTGCTATTCGATTAAATATTTATGGAATTTTCAATTATTCGAGCGCGTAACCGACACCCCTTATTATTTCTACTCGTTTGATTTAGCGCATCAGAGTAAATAAATAAAAGTACTAATTTTATCTGAACAGGCATAGAGAAGAACCATGACGTGAAACAGGATAATAAATTCGCCGAAAGAAGATGCTAAGATTTACCAACTTGTTGAGAGAAAATAAATAAGGGTTCCAAACTTTTTCAGTGCTAAGTAAATACTATATTTTGTAGTCTGTAAAAGGGAAATCACATATTGTGTGGTAACAATATACATAGCATGTTGAGAGATTAAGCTCGTGAGAGAAAACTTTCGCTCTTGTATTTGGATTTTTGGCACTACTGGTAGTAAAGCGTAGTATGGGAAAATACAGTTTTTATTTAATTGGGGCTTGTTTAACAATAATATCCGGGGGAAAACTGAACGACAAAGCCCCTGACTAATTTCTTTAGGTTGTCGTTAACTTTTTCTGACCTGAATATGCATCGAAAGTGAATTATTCCCACTTCTCTCAATTTCTAAATGGGGATTTCCATTACTTCCTACCAACGGAACAGCACCATCTCCGTAGAAAATGGCCTGACGATATGATTCATTACCAACTTTGAAAGTACTCAAAAACAGAACATTCAAGATTCTTAAAGTTGATTAAAATTAAAAATAAATTTAGTGTCAGTATAGGGAATAGAACGAGGGGGATGAAAGTCCCAGATTTATTAAAATTGTATCCAAAAATACCTTTTAGTTTGATAAATTGATTTAAATCTATGCAAATTTATTTTAATCGCGTTCAAATCTTTAAAATTAATAATATCGTCTTTTTGTCGATCACATCTCTAATATATCGGGACACATCTCTATCTAAAACATGACATATTATTTATCATTAAAACTAATAACTCGCTGCTACTTTTTCGTAAAGCCGGGTTTAGATTAGGCAAGTCAA